CCCATCCAGAGCCCAGCCCAGCTCCACAGCTGAGGTCCCAGAGCAAGGCTGAGAGTTTCCTCCATATACCCACCACACAAGCCCTGAGTGCTCTGCTCTCACCAGGGCCAAGGGGGCCAGGCACGGGGGTCCTGCAACACACATCTCTCTCAGGGCTCAGTGCTAGTCCAAGATGACCAGCCACAAGGACCGCCTGGGGACAAGGCCATCTGTATCACCCAAGCAGATCCACCAGAGTCAGCCAGCCAGAGCCAGCTCCTACAGCCCTGGGCTTGGCCACAAGCCACCAAGAGCTGCCCTGAGTGACAGAACTCTGACACAGGTGAAAGGAAAACCACACCCTCAATTATAAAGTTTCCCAAAGCCTGTAAACCCTGGCTTCTAATTCCACCTCCGGTTTGACGGATTACTCCATCCTGGAACCCAGCACGATATTTGACAAGAGAGAAGCAAATAATGAATATAATGTCTTAGAGGCTTTGGCTGGAGCGTTGCCTTCTAGCAACCATGATAATAGATGGGGCGATATAACTGTTTCTGCATTAAGATAGTTTTTAAACAGATGACTAAGTAAGGACAAAGGATCTAACATTCAAACACAGACCCTTTAGGCTATGATTCGTGGCTTAAAATGTCCCCCATCAAGTCTGAGGACAGACAGAAACAAACCTTTGCTTCCTTTTCCTGTTATGACACAACTGAATGAATTCTGAGGAATCTCTTAGGCACAGAAGGGAGTCCTTAATCCAGCCACTTAACACAAGCAAGTTAGAACCTGAACAGAGGAGTTACTAATACTCTCTCCTTAAGAGTACAATACAAATAATTGCTGAAAATAACGTCTTTGCGAGGCACATAAAACATTTTTCTACAAGCCAAATGATTTTAATCTAAAAGATTATTTTACAGTGCATTAAGGAACAAATTCCATCTCCCCCAGCTATAAACATAATGGCCCGGGACCAGGTCACCTGCTCCCTTAAACCAGCAATTCCCAACCTCCTCCCGCCTCCAGGAGGGAAAGACCCTCCAGGCGGTCACGGGGCCAGTGGGGGCGGAGGGACGCGGCGCGCTCACCGCGACCTGGAAGAACGGGGGACCGACCGCGGAGGCCTCGCACAGCCGGCGGACCCGCCCCCACTCACGCAGACCACCGGGGGCCAGGCGCGCCCGCACCCGGCGGCCCGCAGCTCCCCGCCCGCCGGGCCGCCCGCCCTCCTTCTAGGCGGCCGCCGCCCCGAGGGACGATCGCCCCATCTCGGGCTGCGACCGCGCCATTCCCGCGCCCCGCGGCCCCCGTGCCCCCGCCCCGCGGCCCCCGCGCGCCCCGCGCCCCCTGCCCCCGCCCCGCGGCCCCGGCGCCCCCTCCCCGCGCTCCTCGCCCCGCCCCGGCCTGACGGAAGGCCGCTGGCCCGCCGCGAGCTCACCTGTCCGCGCGCCCGCCCGCCGTCCGCGGCCCCCGCCTCCGCGGCTCCGCTCCTCCGCTCCGCGGCGCTGCTGGGCACCGGCCCACGCGCTCCTCAGCCGGGTCTGCGCCTCGGGGACCCGGGGCGGCGGCGGCGGGGACGGCAGCGGGGGCAGCGGCAGAGGGCGCGGGAGCAGCACCGGCAGAGGCGGCGGGGGCGCGCACGCTCACGCACGCTCACGCACGCACCCGCACCGGCGCGCGCGCTCCCGGAAGGACGTGGGCCCGGCGGGTAGGAGCCGCGGGCGGGGCAGGCCGCGCGTGCGCCCAGAGCGCTAGGAGGAGGCTCCGCCCATGCGACGGCCTATCCCCGAGTGACAGGCGTGGGCAGAGGCTGTGGAGCGCCCTGCGGGAGGCCCCGCCCACGGGGGCGGGGCCTGGTGACGGCACGTGAGGGGGCGGAGGCACCGGAGCTGTGGGCGGAGCTCGCACCGCGGAGTCGGAAGGGGCGGGGCCGAGCGCGGGGGCGGGGCCTGCCCGCCAGGTGCTCTCAGGTAGACCGGCAGGTGCTGCAGCGAACTGCACAGAGGGAGGGATGTGGAGACTTGTCTTGCAGCTGAGTTTGCTCAGCGCTTTACGTAAGCTTGCGGAAACGTAACTGTCCTCGTCAAAGAACGGGATAGGCAGCTGGTAGGAGACAACCCGGAGGCCAACGCCCCCCAAGCCACTATTTGGGACTGACATTTGCTCATCCCTGGAGCGCAAAGATGGGACTTCCTTTCTTCCCAGTCACCGAAGTGCCACAGCCATCTATCCAGCTACCCTCCCAGAATCACCCTCAGACAATGGTGTGGAAGGGCAGGAGAACCCACTTCCACTCACTTCCCTTCCTGTCTAGGTGTGACCCCTGCTCATCCCATTGACCCCCTGAGGGAGAGAAGACCTGCTCGTCACTTTTCCCTGTTACTCCCTGTAACCATAATAGTGCTACCGTTTATTGAGTGCCTGCTCTGTGTCTGGTACACCGGTATGTGCCAGTTTTCATCCAAGAAGCCACCAAAACAGAACTTTCTGATCAGTGTTCATGCCTCCTCACTTCCACTCTCGCTCATTGGCCATTTTCCATTCAGCAGAGTCCTCTTAGAAATAGAGATCTAATGACATCCAAGTCTTCCTATGACACACTGAGTAAAATCCAAACTCTGCCAACAAGCTCTGGCCCCTGTCTACCTCTGCCGTCTGCTTACACCTCTCTTCCATCATGCCAGCCTTGAAGCGCCCACTTTGTCCCAGGCTCAGGGCCTGTAAGTGGCAGAGAGCTCAAGAAGTCTCCTGGCAATCATTAAATTGTGCAACATCAAGCAGGCAGAAGAAAAGGCCTATGAAAACCAAAAAGCGGAAAGATTAAAATCTACGTCCGTTGATTCAAGAGGATGAAAGATTTCAGGCTAGAATCATAGCACTGAAAGAACAAAATGGACCTTGTGGCAATTTCAGATTGAAGCTGTGTTCACCCATGTTGGGAGCTGCAGGAATGAATGAATCAGGCCTTACTGAGTCCCTTCTTGACCTAGTAGTTCCACTTTAGGGATATTTGCCCTAAGAAAATGTTTCCAAATACAGAAAAAGCTGTGTGCACTAAGCTGCTCTTGATTGGTGTCATTTATGGTGAAAATGAAAACCTGTCCACCTGTACAATAAGCACATTCAAAGGGAACAGCATAGTTATTAAAAATGTATAGAAAGGCTACATAATCGCATAGAAAATTCTTGTGATAGTTCCTGAAAGTAAAATGAGTAAGACGCATGATATATAAAAAGTACATTATGACAAGTATGTTTATAAATAAATAAGCCCATTTAGAGAAAATAAGACAGGAAAGGTACCTGTCAAATGTCACCAGTGGCGACAGTCAGGCCCTGTGCTTTACATGCCTTTTAACTGGGGAGACAGACCCCATTGCCCGCACCCCGAGATGAGGGAACTGAAGCTCTGGAGAAGCAGGTGCTACTGCTGCTCTCCAACGCCAGTCCCTCCCACTCTGTCCGTGGTGCCAGTTGACCCACCAGTTACTCCAGTTCTCCAGGTTCTCCAATCTCATCTCTACAAATTGATTAGAGGATACCTTGTCTTCTCCCACAAATGGAAGTGCCAAGCCCTTCAGAGCTGGGTCCACATCAGATTCACCCTTGTACTCCATAAAACCTAGCAGACTCTTACCCAAAGGGCATTTAATTATTGAATAAATGAAGACCACATGGAACCCATTTCAAACATAAATGAGGGGAAACGCTGACTGAAGGCAGCGGTGGTGCCTTCTGCCCTTTGTACCAGCTCCCCGTTGTACTGGACTGTCGTGCTGGAGTGTCTGTCTCATACAATTTGAAGTCACTAACTTTCCCTGCTGTTACATCTGGGGCAAGCCCTACTCTCTGACCCCTGAGGAGGTCCAATGATCCTAGTAAAGGGGCTTCCCACTGGGAACGCTCAGGATGCCAGGAACGGACATGTCTGAAGAACCAGGGCAGCAAAGAGCAGTGGCTCTCCCTCAAAGGGCCTCAGAGGTGGTGTGGCTGGCACTCCAGAGAATCGCAGGAAGGAAACACAGGGTGCAGAACACTGTATGCCACCGTTTGAGTAAGAAAGGGAAGGCTGTGAGAATACACATTCCTATTTGCTTGCTTTTGCATGAAGAGACACTAGGAAGATAAACAAGTACTAACAGTCATCATAGAGGGTGGGTGGGGGCCCGGCAGGGACCAGGCACATTTTTGCTCCTGCCTTGTATCCCATTTTGACTTTTGACCCCTGGAGACCTATTACCTTAAAAGATTTAACAACAAAGGAGTCCTCAAATCACCTGGGGACCCACCAGTGCCTCTGCACACCCTCGAGGCAGGCCTCGCCTGGCAGCTGCCACGTGCCCTTGCCGCTATCTGGAACCCGTCCCCACGTTTTGCCTATGCCACCTTAGTTCATCTTTGCTCCACACTCGCCTTATTCATTCAGGGCTTTGTCATTTACCCATCATTATCTTCACATGGTCCTATCTGCAGAGCAAGGACTTGAGGATGGGACAGCCAGCACACTGCTGATGGAAGAGCGTGAGCCTCTTTCCTGATGCTCACTTCCCAGTGAGTGAGCTCCCTCCGCCTGTGTGAGACCCAGCGAGAGCTCTTCACTGACTGAGGGATGCAGGTAGCCTTTCTGCACTGCAACAGCTGGTATAACTGCAGCTAGATGCTCATAGGACTCCAAGCTGCTGTCATGCCAGGCCCGGCTCCTTCAACAGGGCAAATGCTGGCTTGCACAACTTTTGCAGCTCAGCCTTGACCTAACTGGAACCTGGCCAGCTCCTCCGCGCCCTCCATGTCCCTTCCTCAGGGACTCCACAGGTTTGTCAGCACTATATTCTCTCACAGCGTGCTCTGTTTTTCTTCATAGCATTGGAGATTTGGAATCTGTCTTGAGGTTATCTATTTCCTGCCTGCCTCTCCCTGGCTGTAGGCTCATGACGGCAGGGATATTGCCTGTCAGTTTACTTGCCACTCTTTCGTCACCTTCCTGAATGAAGACACACCACACAAGCTGAAGTGGATTTTTCCCATAATAAAGGAATGCTTTATTGACAAATTACCCATTATTTACTTTAAGGAAAAGATAAATCAGTTACTACCCGTGCACCTTGCCTTCTCCTGACACCCCAACTGAGAGACTCTACCCCAGAGAAAGAACGCTGAGTGCTCTTCCCCTGGCACAAGCATGGCCCGCAGTCCTCTGGGGGGGGGGGGGGGGGGTCTGAAGTGACCAGCACACACTCAGCACCAGAGAATTCACTGCCGTCTCCCAGAGCAGATACCCACAGGGGGTGCAGATGCACGTGCAGGCAAGGCCTCTGCCTGCTAAGAGCCAGTAAGGCACGGAGCTGCCCCTCCAGACACACCGGACATGTGGGGCCCTGGGTGAGAGGTTGCTGGGGCATGGCAGCTTCAAAATGGGAAAGAGATCTTTGTGGCTCCTGAGAAAAGGGGACAGCAGAGTTCCAGCAGACCTCGGTGCCCCAGCCCCGACCTGCCCTGTAGGGTCCGTCTGGTGCTGGCTTGTCCCCGGCTGGAGGTGCTGAGCAGTAACGTGCCGCAGGACCTGGCCTGCACAAGGGCACCTCAGCAGCACTGTGGAAGGTGCTGCTTTTCTTTCTCCTGTCCCCCACCCCCAACCCCAGAGGCCCAGGAGCTCTTTGGCCAGTGGAAGTTGCCACAGTTGTTGAGAGGAGAGAGAAGCAATATATACTGGGATAGTGTGTCAGTGAAATAAAACACACCACTGGGACAGGCATGCTGCCACTTGGGCTAGATGCAGAATTCTACATAGTGCTCAAAACCCCTAAAGAACCCTCATTTTTATATATAAAAACATTATAAACCAATAAAGCATAAGGCGATGTAAGGCTTGTATTTCAGCTTGAGTCCAAAGAAATAATATTTTCTAACTATGACACTAAAGCTGCTTTGCTTAGTTTTAATTTTTGAAAAATCCACTGCATTTAAAAAATAAAGAATTTGCTTTTGTTAAAGCTAGATCATTAGTGTAACAATCAGGCAGCTGCTGATAATCAGTTTCTTTTCTGGAGGGTTTCAGAAAATGGACAGTTTTCTCGTTTAGCATCTTGAAATAAAAACTGCAGATTAGATAGGGCTTTCTGGATGACTCTTCCCTCTGTGACTTAGGGAAAGAGTTAGGAAATACCACTTATTTTATACTTATCGCTCTTCCCATTCTTTCAACATTCTGATGAACTAACAGGTTCCCAAAGAGAACTTGGGCTTTGGCTCAAGATGCCGTGGGACCTGCCACCCTGTCCACTTCCCGCACCCTGGGAAGGACACACAGTGACCTGCTGCATCTACCAACTTTAGTGTGAAGCATCTGTGTACAAGACTGTGTTCTCTAACTCATGTGAGTGCAGCGGCCACGTCTACGTGTGGATGGCAGGACTGTCCTCAAAACCAGCTCTTTGCGCTCACCAGCGGCCCGGCCGGCTGCTCCGCTGCGCAGAGGTGCAGTTGTGGCGATGAGAGGGTACTTGCATGTGTTCCATGGCCGGGCGAAGCTGCTACGGGCTTAGAAAGGCGTGTGATCAGGCAGGGGCTTGTCGCCACTCCCAGTCGGGGAGGGAAGGTTGTCACTGCCATTCTCTCTGCCACCCACAACCTTAGACTACAGATGGGAAAAGACCAAGAAAGAAAAACTTGAGACAGAGCACACAATGCCAGGCAGGTCCTAGGCCTGTGCTGGGAATTCAAAGTGTTCTATTCTCTACATAAATTTATGTAACATCAACACTGCCTAGCAATAAAAAGGAACAAATTACTGACAGGAAACAGGCTAGACGATCTCAGTGAATTACGCAGAGTGAAAAGAGCCAATCCCAAAAGGCTACACGCTGTACGGTTCCATTTATGTGACACTCTTGGAATGACCAAATTATAGAAAAGGAAGAGCTGAGTGGTTGCCGGGGGCACGACAGGATGAAGGTGGGCCCCATGAAGGATTTTTGTGGGGATGGAACTCTTCTGTATCTAGATGTTTTGTTTTGTTTTTTAAAGATTGGCACCTGAGCTAGCAACTGTTGCCAATCTTGCCAATCTTTTTTTTCTCTTTCTACTTCTTCTCCCCAAATCCCCCCAATACATAGTTGTGTATTTTAGTTGTGGGTCCTTCTAGTTGTGGCACGTGGGACGCCCCCTCAGTGTGGCCTGATGAGTGGTGCCATGTCCGTGCCCAGGATCCGAACCAGCGAAGCCCTGGGACGCCGCACTGGAGTGCGCGAACTTAACCACTCGGCCACGGGGCCAGCCCCCGTATCTAGATGTTTTGACGTCATATTCTGCTTGTGATGCTGCAAGATGTTATTGTTGGGGGAAACTGTATAAAAGGCACAAGGGCCTCTGTATTAATTCCTAAACCACATGTGAATCTACAACGATTACATAAGTTTATGGAAGCAACAGGTCACACCCCATCAAGAAAATCGGATGGCCCAGGTACAGTTACCTTTATGGTCCCAACTCGATCTTCAAATGACTTGAAGGTTGCAGAGTTCCTTTAAAGAGAGAGGGAACAGGCGTCACTATAAGGAGCAAATGGTTGTGTTGCCCTCCTAAATCTGAAGGGCCTCAAGGTTAGGGTCATCCTCTGGAAAGATCCCTGACAGCATCCTGAGAACTCACTGCAAAAATGTAACAAGCTAAGAAAAGGGGAAGGGGATACACCCCCTGCAGCTAACATCATTCTGGAGACTTCCCCAGGTCAGAACTGAGCTCAGCCACACCCGTCAACTGCAAGGACAGAAGACCTGCATGCCACCAGCTGGTGAGACCCAGATTTCACCTGGGCAAACTGCAGAACCCTCACCTGGGCAGCAGGTGAGATGTGGGGCACATTTCTGCGGCACCCTAAATGTACATGTACTAGGGTTATGAAAAGTCCCATGTGTTCTTCAGACAAATCTCTCACAGACGTCAAGCAAAAGGAAAACCAAGGACAATTCTGGGACAAGAGAGTGATACAGAGGCAGAAGAGGAGAAAGCAGGCCAGCCCCAGTCCCACCCAGCACCCTCTTACACAACCAGCTTTCCCCTCACTGGCTCGCTGCCCTGCCCCCAGGCCCCTGGAGGCAGCCTATCAAGGACTCCCTGCATGCTCTGGGGTGCGGCAGCTGCAGCAGATTCTCCTGGAAGGAGGGCAGGAACTCACTGAGAGCCAGGGCTCCAAGGAAGAGCAGGAGAGAACGCGGGCGGGGGCTCGCAGGAGGGACAGGCCACAGCTCTGGGGGTTCTAAGGAGACCAGGGCTCCCCTCTAGGTGGAGATAAAAGTCTCCAGAACAGACTTGGAGATACCTGAAGCCTCCCAGGTGCCAGGTGAATGTGTGAGACTCTGTGCCCTCTCTGGCCCGACCCCACGGGCAGGCCTGGAAAGTTCCAGATGGAGTCCAATTTGGCACAAGGGTCTCCTCTGAGCCTCATCCCTACTAGCTCTTCAGCCTAGAAGGGGTCTTTCCCAACTCTTAGCTGACAGGAGGCTGCCAGGGGAAGGAGGTCCTTGGTTCAGGGATATGGGAAGTACAAAGCTGACCAGCAGGAGCCTCCCGCTCCCACCCAGCTCCCACCCGGCTCTGGGAGCTTTGGAGCGCAGGCGTACATTACCTCATGGCCGGCATGCTTATCGAGTGGCGGATGGAGTAGCTGCTGCTTGGAAGCATGGTAGAGGCAGAGAAGGAAGCAAGAGTTAACACGAGGACAAGACCACATTCACTATCCTCACCAGCTCAGTGCACACAGGAACCTGACTGCAGGGTGGGCAGTGGGACCCCCACTCCCAGCAGTTGGAACACTCTGGCCACCACACAAGAGGAGCCTTGTAAAGCCTGCCTCCCCAGGAGGAAAACTCAACCCAAGGCTCCTCCCTCTCGGCTCCAAAGTCACCCCAGAAGTGAGACATTCCTGAGGGATGGCATTAAAATAGGGAAACTAAGAAGACCGAGGACTGGAGCTTTAAAAACCTTTTGGTACAAATAGATGTCACATGTCCTTACTTGAGTTCACAGCAAGTTAAAACATTTTTCGGCAAAAGAGAAACCACTAGGTCAAGTGAATAAAAATATTTAAAATCACAGATTGTTCTGGAATTGGGTTCCAGACCTCGAAGCTAGAAGAGTGTGTGACATCAGAGCACTGGTGCTGGCCTGGAAGAGCACAATTTAATCAGCAAGAGATAAAGGACCATTTGGGAGGGTGTCTAACTGGGTCCCCACACTGCTCTAGTGCAGAAAGAGCTCTCAGCAATAAACGAGGCAAACTCAACCGGAAGGGACAGGACTTCTTCTCAGGAGGAGGAGGAAATGGGGGCCGTGCTTTGAAGGAAGATGTAAAGAACACGACAGCTGGAGGGTCAAGCACGACCCTCTCATGTGAACATGTCTCTTTTTGGGAATAAACTTGGGTGTTGGCTGAGATGGATGTGCTCCATGAGGCTGGTTTGGAGTAGGCAGCGCCAGCAACTGGGTGTCAACACAACCATTGATGGGGAGGCCAAGGAGGAGTCCCTACATCAATCGTGCCGCTGGCGACGACCCACACGACCACAGCTCAGGAAGTGACAGTGCACACTCTAACACACTGCAATCAATGCCTGGCCAGCCTTGTGTGCTGGGCAGGGGCGGCCTCTGGCCGTTCCATTACCTCTGTCTCACCCTCTTCATCCAGCACAGCCTCCCACGGGCCAGCCAGAGTGCACCCTGCCCTGAGTCAGAAAAACATCTTCCACAGGTGTGCCCCACATCAGGCTTACCTAAAGGAGTGCGAGAACGGACGAGCCCTACGAGGTGGCAGCAGGAGGAAAGAAGAAATGCAGCATTAGGAGAGGGAGGCCAGTGCCCACCCTGCCCCTCCACACAAGCTCCAGAAGGCCACACAGGGACCCCTGTGACACCCCTCCAGTCCTCACACTGCCAGGGAGAACAGAACATGCACCCCATGTCCAATCTCTCTGAGTCCCGACTCTGCAAGGGACCATAGGTCCATAACCCTATCTGGAGCTTAGAGGGAAGAAGCCCCAAAGAGAAGAGATGTGGAAAGGTGTGAGATGGGCCATGCAACTCCACAACCCTCAGAGTTTGGTGTGCCAACACCCAGAACCCTGAGTCAGCCAGGCTTGGCCAACACACTACATGGCAACAGACCAGCCAGTGTTCTCTGTGGAGCTTCAGCTGGACCAGAGCACACACACACACCACATCGATCTGGACCCCTTCAGGGCTGAGCACTTTGCACTGGCTCCACCACCAGGATGACAGAAGCCAACCTAGAAATGCACGCATGTGTGTCCAAGGGCAGTTGCCAGCACGGGGAGGGGCACAGGGCCACCTCCACTCCCCAGCCAGGCCCTCCACCTCTAACACTCTGGAGGCCACCCTCAACCTGGTGGTCATTTCAGAAGTGACACACACACAATCACACGGCCTGATGTGCGCACATCACTCAGGCAGGAAATCTGATTAAGGTTTAGAGAAGACGGGTGACTTGTTAAAGGTCACCAAGCTGGACAGAAACTCAACCCTGCTTCAGCCCAGCCCTTGACTCAAATCCAGCTCCCACTCCCTCTCCCAACCCCTCTCAGGCCAGGGCTGTTCCTGGACAGGCACATTGAGAAAACCACCAGGGGGCAGTTGTCCTGAAGGACCTGGCCCCACACAGCAGCCAGCCAGGGATCTCCCAGCCCTAAACTCATGATGTAAACCTCCCTGAACCTGATTTTCTTTTTTGAGGAAGATTATCCCTGAGCTAACATCGGCCGCCAATCCTCCTCTTTTTGCTGAGGAAGACTGCCCCTGAGACAAAATCCGTGCCCATCTTCCTCCATTTTATATGTGAGATGCCTGCCACAGCATGGCTTGACAAGCAGTGTGCAGGTCTGCACCTGCGATCCAAACCGGCAGATCCCAGGCCACCAAAGCAGAACATGCAAACTTAACTGCTGCACCACCAGGCCCAGACTCCCTGACCCCGATTTTCACTCTCAAGAAGCAGTCAACTCTAAACCTTGGGCTCTAAACTGGGGAGGTTAACGGGCCTTGGCCTCAGAGACCACCTGAGGCCATGTGCTGAGACTCCACCCTCTTGTCCAATTTCCACCAACGGTGCTCTGAACACACTCAAAAGTAAGTGAGAATACTTAAAATGAGTGAATAATGTCAAAAGTCAAAGAGAACTTTCCTAGTAAAGAACGTAATTTAAGCACAACAGCATTTATTGCTTCCTTCAAATGCTGTTATCAGACGAGCATTTTGAGGAAAGAACAGGCACAACCTGACACACTGCTCACTCCATGGTGCGGGGACTGCCTGCCTCACCCTCTGTGGCTATCCCTGGGAATGAGGCCAGGCCACCACTGGCATGTGATCAGTCTGTCACCGGGCTTACCACAGTGTGGCTCAGGTGGCCAAAGCAGGTGTCCCAGAGAGCAGCAGCGATGGCGTCCCATCTAATTTCAAATGAAATTTGTTACAGGAACACACTCACAAAGTCAGCTGTCAGCAGATTAGTGTGAAGCCTTGGGAGGGATCACTGCAGACCCTCCTTGCTCCTCACTCAGAGCCGCATCTTGGGGAGAGTGCTCCCTCTTGGGTCCAAATCACAGCTACAGCAGGCAAGGCCTGCATTTATACGGTACCTGCAGGAAGCCACAGCCACAGCTGCTCAGGAGTGTGCCCAGAGGCCCAGGTGTGGAGGGCACACTCCTTAGGCACAGAGGAACATATAAGACTGCGTACTGATTGTTCAGCTTCTCCAAAGGTTTGAAATTTTTCAAACTAAAATGTTGGGGGGTGAGATAATTATGTCAAACAAAAATAAAAAGTGAGCACAGCTCTAGGTATAAGCCATCCTCTGCTTGGAAGGGTGGGTCCCCGGGGGTGTGAGTATGTGTTTTTGCCTCTGGCTAAGTGGCCAGGGCAGAGCCCCCACCTTGAGGCCCCACAAGGCAATCACCAGGCCTGTGAGGTGGGGAAATACCTAACCTAAGCAGACAGGGAGAGAGCTCACCCAAGGGTAAGAGATGAGGAGTCAGAGCTGGGTGGACCCCCTTGGCACTCAGCATGCCAAGCCCACAGGCACCACCACCATGTGATTCTCAACTGTAGGAGGACAGGAGCCTGAGGACGAGGTGGGGGCTACAGGGAGGCATTCCTTGAAGTCCAAAAGTGAGGGGACTAGTCCCAAGTATGGGTCAGGGGCCAAGGCAGGGCTGGGCAGCAGCACCCAGGGGCCAGGGCCACAGCACTGGCAAAGACCTGCATTCCACCCTGTCATTCACCGATATGCGTTTCATCCTAACAACCCCAAGAGGGAGGCCTTGCCGAGGACACAGCTAAGAGGTAGCTGACCCAGGATTCACCATGGCACAGAGGCCAATCCCCTGGGCACCGTGCTGTGTAGGAAAGGTGGCCTAGTGGGCATGGCCAAGGAGCCCAGAGTAGGAAATGCAGGGCTAGCAGCAGCCCAGCTGGATGAGGGCATGGCTGTCAGGCTGGGGTGCCGCCATGTGCAGTCCAACAGTGCCTGAGCCACCCCCACACTCCCTGGCCCCAGGCCCTGCTCAAGAGGCACCTTTGGTGGCCATGAGGGTCTTATCAGCCTCCAGGAAAGAACACTCAGTTGGGGCTCCTGGTGTGCGACCGCACATTCTCTGAGATCCGGGCCAGGCAAACACAACAAGGAAACAAGCTTGACCTGGACCTGTCCTGGCTGCTGGCCCACCCAGACTGACAGCCCACCTTGACACTGACCCCCAGGCTGGAGTCACTTTCTCTCAAGGAGACTTCAATGAGAAGCATCCACCTTCAACAATTCCAAGCATCAGAAGTTACCCAAAGGTACCAGTGACCACCCCCCCCCGAGAAATACAGAAATGGCAAAGAGGCAGCCAACAGGAGGCAGACGCACCCTGCAAACGAGAGTCTGTGAGCCAACTGGTCCGGGGCTGGTATGGCCACATATGGAGGTGCATCTGAGCCATGGGGCTCCAGCAGGTTTCCCGCAGAACCTCTGATGGATCTAAAACCTCCCCTGACTCAGGGCAGGGGGCCGGGGCAGGTGTCTCACCTCATGTCTCCTAGCTTCCTGCTGATGGCAGAGCCCATGGTAGACAGGGCAGCTGAAGTCTTCTGTCCCGCCTGCGAGAGAGTCTCCTGAGTCTTCTTGTAGCTGGGAAGAAGAAACACCAGTTCAACCAACCAAGCAGAAGGGGCAGCCACCACTCGCAAGCAAGGACACAGAGTGCCTGGAAAGTGCCCAGAAAGGAGGGAGGAGCGGTCAGTGAGTGCTCGCCTGGTCACCATGGAGGGGACACGTGTTCAGTCTCTGGGGCACCAGGGGACCTGCAGCGAGGACAGAGGCGGCACTGCCAGGTCAGGGCCTCCCATCCTGCAAGGATACTGTTTTCTGATCTTACTGTAATTGAAGTTCTTGTCCTCCTCATTTGAGAATTACTTATCCCACTTTCCTTGACTTCTCTCAGCGACTGACTACTCGGGAGGCACAGGATCTGCCTGCTGCAGAGAAAACAGGCCCAAGGGCCATGAGTCGGGGGCAGAACCAGAAAAGTCCTCACGAGTCCCTGTCACTGCATTCAGGAAGCTCCTCCCTCTCTCCTCATGTAAGACAGTCCTCTGAGGGGAGAAAACACAGCCCAACCACACTCATGGGGAACGCATCTGACAGTGGGACACGCGGCCTGTGGTGTGCCGGCCTTCACAGACTGAGGAGCCCCTCCAGCCCACCATCCTTCTGTGCTGTCTCCACAACATCCTTTCAGCACTGGGGAGACCTTCATCTCACGCCACCATTCTCACTCAGTGCAAGGAGGTGGTCTTGGCTCTTAACAAAGACTGCCTTTTCCCTGCCCTCCTGCCTTGTCCACCCACACACGGGGGCATCACATGAGACATGGCTCCATGACCTTGATGTCAGCAAGACGGGCAAAGGTGGGCACAGGCCAGGTGCCTTGACCACAGGACGGCAAGGACACCTTGAGAGCTAACACCTAGAGCTGCCGGCCCTCATCCAGCTGCCACCACAAAAAAAAGACACAGCATCCTGAACCCAAGAGCTCCTTTCTGGTCACCCCAGCAACCCTGAGGAAATAACAGCTAAAGACAGCAGGGCTCCCGAGATGCCAGTCTTCTCTCACCCTGCCAGTGTCAGCAGGTCACAGTGGGCAGTGTCAGACGGCACCAGCAATGGGTCTTCTGAGCCCTTCCCTCCCATTTGTTCCCACTGCCACCTACAGGAGGCCCTATGTGAGCACCTGCTGCCCTCCTCCCTCAGGCCAGTCTCCTGACCACTCCAGCCTGTCCACGCAGGATCAGTTTCTGCCGTGACCCTCTGATCTTACCATTCTGTGGGGACTGCCCTACCCTGAGCATCCCAGGAGGGACCTCCCTCTACCTGACAGTGGCCCACTCACAGCACAGTGGGGCTTCGGGCTTCACTGGTGTCCAAAGGACCCAAGACTCAACACATGTGCTGCTGCCTAGCAGCAGAGTGTGGAAGCATCCTGAAGTCACTAGAACCTCGAATTTATCTGTTCCCAGGAAGGTCAGTGGATTCTGGAACATATTGTAACAATGGGAAGAAAACAGTTTCTAAAACCATTGCTGAAAAATTTGCTTCTGGGGGCTGGCCCCATGGCCGAGCGGTTAAGTTCATGTGCTCCACTTTGGCGGCCCAGGGTTTCACCGGTTTGGATCCTGGGCGCAGACATGGTACTGCTTATCAGGCCATGCCAAAGCAGCGTCCCACATGCCACAACTAGAAGGACCCACAGCTAAACAACTAAAAAATATACAACTATGTACTGGGGGGCTTTGGGGAGAAAAAGAAGAAAAAAAAGAAGATTGGTAACAGTTGTTAGCTCAGGCACCAATCTTAAAAAAATTTGCTTCTGCATTTCCTGGAGTCAATAACTAAAAAGAAGTCAGTTCTGAATCCAAGCTTTAGACAAATTTGACTACCTGAAATCCCCTCCCCTGTGACGGTCTGAAATTAACAGGAACTGAAACAAAATCCAATCACCTTAGGGGCTGGCCCAGTGATGCAGCGGTTAAGTGCGCACGTTCCGCTTTGGTGGCCCGGGGTTCGCCAGTTCGGATCCAGGGTGCGGACATGGCACTGCTTGGCAAGCCATGCTGTGGTAGGCATCCCACATATAAAGTGGAAGAAGATGAGCACGGATGTTGGCTCAGGGCCAGCCTTCCTCAGCAAAAAGAGGAGGATTGGCAGCAGATGTTAGCTCAAGGCTAATCTTCCTCAAAAAAATAAATTAATTAAAAATCCAACCACCTGTACAGAAACCCAGAGAGCTGCATGGCTGGAACCTGACAGGGTCACCCAAGCAGAGGGGCAGGGTCTGTCCTAGGCCACAACTGATTGGCACTGAAGATGAGAGTCCACATGCTCCTTCCAGGAGGGTCCCACATGGACTCTGGGTAACCCCCCAGGCACCCTCTCACCTGACAGCACCTTTGCCCAGGGCTGCCACCCACACCACAGTCTGTCTCAGGCTCTAACAACACTGTGGCAATAAAGGTGCAAAGGCACATCCCTCACAATGCAGCCTACTGAGGAAAGGCTCTGGAGCCTTCTCTGGGGTCCCTAATTTGCAGTGCCTGGTAGCAACCCCAACCCAAGACCTGGCCTGACGAACTGCTTACATTTTAAAGTGAGTAAATTAAGATTAACTACAAGAAATAGACCTCTGTGCACCTGGAGCCATGGTCGTTATCTATAAAACACCAGGTACAGGCAACTAACAACATGCAACACTGAATTTCAGAAATACAAAGTCAGAACACATCTTCAAGCTCAGGTTTTCCTGGAATAACAAATACGGAAGACCATGTCAACATTCTGTGGTTTGTTGAAGTAAAAAACAGTCTGAAGCAGAAGATTTAAAGAAAAATCCTGACAGAATCTCTAATTTGCACCCACGGGGCCAAGTCTGGGAATCTCAAGTTGGAGTGAACACACGCCTATGCCGTGAGTCCTTGTGGATGGGGAGGAGAGCCCTGAGGGTGACTCAGAAGGGGGCCCGGGCACTGAGCCACCAACAGGAGAGGAGCTTGCTGTGGGCGAGTCCACAAGGCAGCACCCCCACCAGACACCAACGAGAGGCAATTTCCTCGCACTCCACAGCCCTCAGCATTTCTAGGGTGTGGAAACGAGGTGACACAAGTGACTCCTTCAGAAACAGGAACCTCCAAACAGGGGCAGCCACAGTACAAGGGTTAGACACTATCCTCACCTCACGGTCCAGACAGGGAGGCTGAGCACGGGTGTGGCAGGGGGGGCTGGGGGCAAGGGTGTGCTCCTGCTGCACCTTCCCCTCCCAGTGCTCTGGGCAGTAGAACCTGCCAGCAGTCTCCCTGAGTGACAACTAGGGAGGCACCCAACAGGCACCCCCAGCACTCCTTCACCTCAGAGTGCAGAGCAGCCAATGTGTCTAGCCACCCCATCTCGTGAGCCGTGCTGTCCCCTCCTCCTGGGCTGTCAATGCCCCGAGCCCTGGAAGCGTCACTTTGACAACTCTTCACCAACAAGACTGCTGGTGAGATCGCAAGGGAATGGCCACTGCCTGGTATAGCTCTTGGAAAGGGCCATCCTGTTGGCCAGACTTCCAGGCCCAGAGCCACAGGTTTCTTTCAGAGGAGCCAGGACTGTATTTGCAATGGCATCCTGGCAGCTTTATGGCAGCTGGTTTTACCGAAGACCACTAATCCCCTAAGGCTGTTTTCAGATCATCCGCACTATGCGCCTGCCTGCTGCCCAAACTGCACAAATGACACACTGTCTCACCTGAACCTCTGCCCCTCGGGAGAGGCACCGCCGAACAGCCCTGAAGACACAGCACACCAGTGCTCCCAGAACACCGATGGCAGCAAGTGCTTGTCATGCCAAACTACACAAACACAGTGAAACACGAATCAACAGAGTCCCTGGCACTGGCTCCCCTCGTGGCATGAAGCTGGAATGGCACCACGAGCACAGCCGGCCAACCTGGGGTCCCAGGCACCTTCAAGACAGCTCAGGAGCAACACCGTCCTTTCAGCCCAACACGGAAGGACATTCTGCCCATGTTCTCTGGCAACCACGACAGCACTTCCCTCTAAATGAGAGACAGGAAAATCCCAGAAGGTGACCATTTTTAAATATTGTCCCACCCAGTGCAAACAAGTTAGAATCAGATTGGAGCACAGTGCTATTATCTCGTTTAAGGATCTTAAATAAAACATCAGGAGTCATATACGAAAAGCTACTCATGCACATTTCATGCTCTGCTAACCTTCCATGCGGCTGCCAGCTTGGTGCTTCTCAGACAAAAGGGACTCCTTCAAGATCCCACTGGCATGGCCTGTGCCGTGCCCCCTACTCAATTACCACCCCTAAGTTCGAGAGAAGTTCTGAGGACCCACTAGCTGGAGCTAGGTCCGCAGGAGAAGGAAGGAGACCAAAAAACAACATGAAAATCACCAACATCAGTCCAGATAGCACTCAACTACTGTGCCCGCTCTGAAGCCAAGGAGCATCTACTGGCCAGAGACAGTGCCCGAGCCCAGCTCCGGCCTCTGTCTGAGGGACACGAGTCACACAGAGGGAAGTTTTCAGCATGGTCTGGTGGCTGAGTGAATTTCCTTCAGCAACTGCACCCTGTCCCACCAGAGTTTAAAGGACCATTTCACTTCTGTTTGAGAGGAGAATTATATTAAAACTAATTTGCCAAGAAACACCAGAACCAGGCTTGTGCCAAGTGTGCACAGCCTCTTTGTCCCTAAAAGGAGTGTCAGGGAAGAAGAGGAGGGAGGTGCTGATGGAGAGGCACTCACAGGTCCGACTGGGTCACTTTCTCATTCCACTCTCCAAGTTTCTCAGAAGTTTTCATATAGCTAAAAATAGAAAGTCTGTGGTAAATTATTTAGAAAAACTATTTCAACCCAGGTTTCAAACTGCAGGTTAAATTCCAGGGAAAACGGAGGACCAGCTGGCAGGAATAGTGAACCTCCTGCCCGTCTGAGAACAAGGTCTGCCACTTCTGCTCAGCACTGCTGTGCAGGCCCAGGTGAGGCCAGGAGAGGAAGCAAACAGCTCTTCACCAGTCATGCCAAGGGAGGGCATGGTCACTCAGTGTATGATGGCTCTTGGGGACAGCAATGGTGTGAGGAGCAAGCAGGGCACAGCCCGTGGCCCCAAACACTTCTCTGACAGTCACCCTTTGGGATTCAAAACCTATGATTTCCTAGGACAGAGAAACGGGCTTTTCACAGGTGAAATTTATGAAGTTCGATTCAATCCGTCTTTCTTCAGGCACGCAGCTTCTTAAGACAGTGGGAGGGGCCAGCCCGGTGGCACAGAGGTTAAGTGCACATGTTCCGCTTTGGTGGCCTGGGGTTCACTGGTTAGGATCCCAGGTGTGGACATGGCACTGCTTGGCAAGCCATGCTGTGGTAGATGTCCCGCATATAAAGCAGAGGAAGATGAGCACGGATGTGAGCTCAGGGCCAGTCTTCCTCAGCAAAAAGAGGAGAATTGGCAGCAGGTGTTCACCCAGGGCTAATCTTCCTCAAAAAAAAAAAAAGACAGTGGGAAACATTTCCCATCCCGCCACCTAGGAGGATACACTTCAGAGGAGCCATGTAGCTGCACTCCCCAAATTCAAGAGAGCCGAGTCACATCTGAGCCAGAGGTCCTGGGATTGTGATCATGTCACACTCATGAGAAGGACCCATGGCCACCTCAGCAAACAACTGAGCTATGGAGACGAAAGGAAAGTCAGTCTCATTAGGACCTAATAAGTGTTCTCTCAAATTTAGACCCTAAAACATATTCTTCTCATCAGTTCCTGCTTGGACCACTAGCTAGTGTGTCCACCCATCTTTTTAAAATATGTGTAGACTCCAAGCTCTTTGAATAAATACAAGAACGGTTGCTAGTACACAGGGACCCTGGCTGGCTGCCTCCAAACAGGCACACTTGATCCCCTTGTTCCTGTGAGGCGCCTTGCCCCTAAGAACTCAATGGCCATCAACAAGGCAGAGGCACCACGCTGGTGCGCACTCTCTCCAACCATCAGGGTGTCCCCACCAGAGAGCAGGTACCTACGCGTTAGAGACCTGCACATCATGCCAGCTCCTGGACAGGTTCTGCTTCAGGCCCTCCAAGGCAGAGAGGCCCAGCTTCCTTTTCAGCTCTCCACAATGTCTCTCCTTTGCTGCCAGAACCTGGCGCAGAGTGACAATTTCTTCTTCCACCTGCAAAAGCGTGCAGTTGACACGATCAGCTACCACTATTGCAGGAAGTGACCAACATGCTTATACACGCTGCAATGAGAGGTTTCTCAGAATTATGTAAGGACTTTCCGCTTACAGAAACATAACTCATCTTAGGAATAGAATATACGGCAACATCTGTTCTGTTTTCATCTGGTACTAGCACCCCAACTTCTTCTGGAAAACTGTTGTCCCATGCCCCCAAGCCAAGTGATTCTGGAGGGGCTACCAACCACTGTGCCCACCTGTAGATGACTAAGCAAGGCCTGTCAGTGCTCTTCCCTGGGACTGGGCACTGGTGACAGGAGAGGGAAGCCCCTTTCCCTTTGGGTTCCCGGTCTGGGCTTGGAAAACAGGCGCTGGAACTGCAGCAGCCAGGTCCCACCTGCACTGTGGGGACTCCACGTGCAGTGGGGAGGAGCAGAGCTGACAGAAAAAGGACGGCCAGAGACCCAGGTGACAGAAAAATAGCCCTGATGACAACATTCGTGCTCCTGAAGTCAGTTCCAGGCCTTGGCAAAAGCCAGTTACACAAGCCAACAGTAAATTGTCTTTCATGCTTAATGTAGTTTGAGTTGGGTGACAGAAAGAATCCTGACAATAAAGACCTGAACCTTCTCAGGTTCTTAAAAAAAAAAAAAAAAAAAAAAGAATGTGACTTTAGAAAGGAGCCTCTTTTAGAGGCTTACTACTTTGGAGTTCTCAATATTTTCAGCTTCTATGGGAATAGCTATTCTAAAAAAAAAAATCCCTTTCCTAGAAAAGTGATTGTTTGCATTAAGATGCTAAAAAACAGCTTAGAGCCCTGTGTATCACTAGATTCTGCTTTAGAAAATAGTTGAAACAAGAAATAATTAAAAAACAGGATCATCTGAAGCCAAAGTATTGCCATTCACTCCAGCAGTTACAGCCAGTGACTAGAACGTTCCATTTATGGTGGGATGACCAACAGGGCTTAAGGGCATGTAATCTAGTTGTCTTGGGGGACATGCAAGTTGAAAACTTTAAGTGACGAAATAACTTCTTCACTTTGCAATTCAACCCTGAAAAAGACCTTGTGGTTTTAGCCTCTAAACCAACATATTCCTAAATAAAACACAAAGTCTAAGTCTGCCTGGATTCTCGCTGCTTCTCCCATAAGCTTCGTTCCATTAGGAAATAGCTGTACGCTTCCCCCGTGATCGGAAACCTGGTCTTGGGGCTGGGGTTCGTCTGCACAGCTGGCTCTCCTCAGCCCTAGGACTAGACCCAGGATGTATCAAGATGAGCTCATCTCTGAAGACACAGTGGAGGCCCGGGTCAAGCAGAGCTCCAGCCTCTGCCTGACTGGACACTACAGTCAGATACTAACAAGTTCATTTCACCAGATTCTAGAATCTCAAGTGAGTCACTATTAGATCCTACATCACACAGTAAAAACAAAAACTCTTGGCAGTTGGTTTGAATAAAAATTATACTTGGAGACTTTTGTTCTTAGCTACTGTTTCTTCTTAAGGGACTCTCACTTAAAAAAGATCACATAGCACTTTTTACAAAACAAGCATTTTTAAAAGAAAAATTAAGATCCAGGGGCAGATAGACTGCTGGGGTCTTGAAAAAGTCAAGTGTTAATTCCCACAGAGAGACTCCCAGCAGATGGTATGCTCAGAGCACCGTCCATGTGTGGACACTCTCCTCATGGACACCGACAAGGTCCAGGCACACAGAAAGTGAGGGCAACAAAGAGCAGTTTCTGTGGGGCTCTGGGGACGACCTCCAGGGCAAGCTCCCCAGAGCATGCCCAGCACTCTGGCCCCTCACTAGCCTGAGAGGGCCTCAACTCATGGTCACCCCAGGACAGACAGCCAAGATGCTGCACCTTTGCGAGCTCAGCTCTGAGCTCCTCCTCCTCAGCCTCCGACAGACCCTCCACAGCAGGAGTCTGGGCAGCCACCGCCGTGTCGACAGGGACATCTGTCATGGAGTCGGACAGCAGACCTTTGTTAGGAGAATTCAGGTTGATATCTGCAAGGGACAAAATGAGTCAGGCGAGAAATCACAGAGCAGTAAACAGAGCAGAGGTCTCCACCGAGGGCGAAAGCAAGAGTGAAAGGACAGGGTGTAGGGGAAGAAAGGGTGGAGTCTAACAATGCCTCTTCTCTGAAGGTTTCTGCAAAGATGGTTTGGGCCATCAGATGGAAGGCAGCCACATCTCAGGCAGCCAAAGAGCCTGGCGCAAGGCAACTGTCCCTAACTCTGGTTCTCCCCGTGGGAATACTAGCTTCTGAGACAGGAAAGCTTTGCTACAAACAAAGCAGCCTGATCTAACAGATCTTCCATTTTGTAGAGCAACGGAACTTAATAGGCTATGAACACAACAAACAGCACTTTCCAATCAAGTGACCTGCCACTTAACTACACACAAGGAGCATGCGCTAGTCATTCAGCCCGTGTCAGGAGTGCACAAAACAAAAATCCCCTTTACTGCATCCTCAACCCTCATCCTACAGCAAGGAGGTCACAGCACGTAGTGAGGCAAGGAGGGAACACTGCCTCCACACACCTCTGCTACACCCAGATCAGGTTCAGACTCCTGCAGTCACTATTTCTTCTTCACAAAGTGCATCTTCCTGTCTGCACTAAAAGTTGACAGAATATCACACAAAGAAAAACGGGTCTACTTCAGTTCTTTGCAACTCCAACCACACAAGTGTCACATGGTACTTTTATACAACCGAAAGCATCGAAAACATCTTCCATTTTCATCAGCACATTACGTGAAGAGACAGGCTTTGTATGTTGTCTGGCAAATTTTAAAGGTAAATTAAAATAAAAGGGATAAAGGTTGGAAAGAGGTAAAAGTCTCTTTAATTGCAAATATGTTTGTCTACTGTGGAAATCCTAGAGTCTAGTAAAAACAGATTGAATGCACTTAAAACCAAAGATGTTTTACTGAGCTGGCTCACCCCTTCACATGTCCACACAGCTGGACTGGCACCTTCCTGGCGCTCAATGGATGTTTACTAAATGAAGCATGTCCCCTTTATCAACTGATTTTTTTTTTTAAAGATTGGCACCTGAGCTAACAACTGCTGCTAATCTTCTTTTTTTCTCTTCTTCTTTTTCTCCCCAAAGCCCCCCAAGTACATAGTTGTATACTGTAGTTGTAGGTCCTTCTGGTTGTGCCAGGTGTGACGCCGCCTCAGCATGGCCTGATGAATGGTGCCATGTCCGCACCCAGGATCCAAACCAGTGAAACCCTGGGCTGCCAAAGTGGAGCACGCGAACTTAACCACTTGGCCACGGGGCCGGCCCGATTATGATTTTTAATTGAGCTCAATCTACATGATTTTACTTCATGGTTTGTACCCATTATGTTGAACCTACCCAAATTTAGTAAATGCTTTAAAATCTCTACAATTTTTCTCTTTTATTTTTAACAAATAAATGAAGGCCTTTACACAGTTTCTGCCTATAAAGCTAAAATTGGATCCTATGGAAATCACCACCAGTTCAAAAGTGGACACTTACCAAACACACCGGGCACTGCACAACCGCTCTGCGTGACACCAACCTCACCAGCCCAGCAGGGAGACACTATTCACATCCTAAGGTCTCCTGATTTAGAGAAGAGGAGACTGGAAAGTGTCTTACCAAAAGACCTACAGGGAATAGGCACAGGGCTGGTGGCCGAGGCAAAACTACGGGGCTAGAGTCCTTCCCTGGGGTGAAACCCCAGCTCTCTTGAGCCTGTATAATCATCTGCAAAATGGGGCCAATACAACGACCAATCTCAAAGGGCCATGCTGAAAATGGAAAAACATCATTTGAGAAACAGGTTCAGCATGGTGTCTGACACATGTAAGTGCTCAGCATATGTTTCCTGTCATTCTCACGATCAGAATCCAGTACTTGTGATGTCTACTTAGACATGCAAGTCAACAGTGAAAAGTCTCCTGAATTTATCAGAGCCCAGGACTTTTGATGCTTAATTATTTTGCATGTAGATGTCAAAAACAGAAAAACCTACAGACAAAATGTATCAGGACCCAGGAATTCCAACATTCGATTAATATGCTTAATATGATTCAAACGTTAGAAGAGCACCCAGAAATTATCCAGTGTAGTTATGTCAACATGGGAATTCAGCATCCCCTCTCTAGAGCCCCAGAGCAGAAGACACACTTGTATCACCTTCTCAAGATTTTAATCTTCTGGGCCCGCTCCACACCCCCAGCGGCCATCTCAAACTGGCCCGGGGTGTCTGTTCAGGAAACAGGCCTGGCATGCTGGGTGTGCCCCTGACTCACTACATCCTTCCCCCCTCGAGACAACCCCTAAGTAGGCTGAGCTCCAAGCAGCGTTGCCACCCACGGGGCGCTGCGCTGAATGCGAGAACGGCTTCACCTCCCCTTCGCTCCCCGAAGCCGCGCACAACACCTCGGCCCGGGTCCAGGGCCAGATAGAGTGTCCCCGAGGGTCCTGCGCAGGGACAGAGGACGGCCGACCCTGCAGGCACCGGGCGGGAGCATAATGAGAGCCGCCTGGAGTGAGGAACTCACAACTCCGGGAATCGGTCCTCGGAGGGTCCACGCCGGGGGCGGGAGACGCGCGCCATGGCCATCGGGAGCTTGAGGCCGGGCGCGGGGAGCTGAAAAGGGGCCGCGGGACTGGGGACACCAGAGGCTGAGACGCGACCCCAGGGAGGGGCGGAGCGCGAGCCGGGCCGCGGGTACCTTGGCCTGCGGAGTCCATGTTCAAGCGGCGGCCGGGTTGCAGCTGAGGCGGGGGCCGGGGTCGCGGGCGCCACGAGAGCCGAGCGCGCCGCACCGGGAGCCGCCCGCCGCGTACACACAGCCAGCGGAACTGCCTCAGCCACCGTGGTGTTACGTAATCAGCGACGCGACGGCCACTTCCGCTTTGATCCGAGCTCCGCCTTCTCCCCGCCCCCGCGAGCGTTGTCCAATGAGGGCGTTGTTTGCCCCAGTCCACGTTCAGCCATTCCAACCTGATTGGCCGAGGCTGCAGACGCGACAGGAAAGGGAGGCCGGATTCTGAGGGAATCCCTCCCAGGTCGGCGCCACCAGCGAGACGCACAGGTAGAACGGCCCGCCAGAGCACCGGGAAGATGGGAAGTGGGAGGACCGTCCAACATGGCGCTGTGGAAACCCAGTGCTGGGGCGCTGGGAGGTCTCTTGGGTGATTGCCGCTGCCTGCGAGCGCCGCGGCTCACGCATCGTGGCGGGTCAGACTCGGTGAGACCCCTCCGAGGCCCGACCCTCTGACTTTGGGGTTAGCCTCTCCCCCAGTCTTTTTGGTTTTTTAGTTCATCTTTTTTATGGAGGGTTTTTTTTTTTTTTTTTTTTTTTTTTTTTTACGGGGTTCGCGCAACAGAAGGAGTGACTGCGATTCGTCCTGTTGTCCTGCGGGCGCCGCTGCCCTCACTTGGCTGGGGGCGTCTCGGTCCGCGCGGGCCCTGGGCGTGAGCGCGCCTGCGGCCCGCCCTGGGCACCCTGGTGCTCTCTCACTTCCTTTTCCCAGCAACCCCGTGAGCCAGGTGGAGCCCTCCCCACTTCCCAGAGGGGAAAACTGAGGTTAGAGTAGCTTGCCCAAGTTCACTCAGCCAGGTGAGGGGCTTCCAGCAGACTCTGGAACAAGAGTTTGCTGGACTTCCCAAGAGAGGTGTGTAACCACTAGGCAACCCCATCCCGCTAAACAAGTCCCACAACTTCTCTTCTTTGGCCCCTAATTGTCCCTGGAAGCAAATCCTTAAATGGTATTCAATCCTTTAGGATCTGACCTTTTGGACTGCACTCCCCACTCCCAGCCAAGCCCTCACCCTAGGCATGGAAGCCCCTTCCTTAACCTGGCTAACTCGTCTTCCTGTCTCAGCTCAAAGCTCACCTGCTCGCCACAGGCGTCTTCCTAGTACTTTAGGTCACCTTAGGTACCTACCTCTGCTTGCTTTGGCCCAGGTGCATCATGGCCATGTTCTGCCCCCATGCTGTCAATTATTGTCTGTTCCACTTGCCTTCTTTCAGTTTTTCCAGAGCTTCTTGCTCAACCCACCTTAGCCAGCCTCTGTCCCCAGAGGCTGGAGACAGCCAGTAGTCCCTGCTTCATGCAATTCATGGCAGATGGTAAGGAAGCAATGGCATTACACATAGTAGTGAGCAGAGGGCTCGTCTCTCATTCTGCATTGCATCTCTGAGCCAGGAACAGAGCCTAGCCCAAGTGTGGCTCAAGGGGACACCCAGCAATGAGTGGTTGGTGCAGGTGTGTCTGTAGCCCCACTTAGACATGCCACTGTGTATACCTGCTACTCAGTCTATGGTCCCACAGTGAACCCCTTCCTCTAGAAGCCAGGAGTGTGGAGGTGGGGAGGGGACCCTATGGAGCAGCAGCATCACAGTCCTGGGAAGGTCCAGCTGCCAAGACCTGGTTTACAGCCCTCCAGCGCCAATGTGCTTTCATAGCCTGGGGCGACTTGTGCAGACCCTTCAACACTCATCTTTCCCAGAGACATCCTGCAACCCAGGCCAGGTGCAGAGCACCTCCTGGGGTCTCACAACCTGTATTCCTACCATCCTTTGGAGGTGATCAAGGCGCCCATCACACAGCATTACCATAAACTGGGTCTGGTTAATCTTTGCATTCCCTTTTAGGAGCTGAGAGCAGATGGGGACGTCCACAGTGTTTGAGGGAGAAAGAGACAAAAAAGAGGAGGGAAGGCCCCAGTGAGGGAGAGCACCAGGTCCTTATGTACTGCCCCACTTTCCCCCAGAACACCAAGTCGGGATCCCCAAGCGGGCCAGCTTTACTGCTTTGAGGTGTGGGGAGGGAATGGACCAAGGCCCTGAAGGTGCACGAATGCGCGAACACGCCAGCTGCCGCAGGGGCTCAGGCTACAACCTCCAGGGCAACTGGAAGTCCTCCGGTTCCAGCGGACTGCAGTGAGTCGCCTCCACGTTTTTGAGGTGTTTGCGCGCCAGGAACAGCGCGAGCTGCCGGCGCCGCCGCGGGCTCAAGCCCTGGCCCACTAGCCAGGGGAAGGCGAGGCCGTGGGGCCCCCAGGCCTCCTCATCCTCCTGCTCGTCCTCGCAGCGCGCGCGGTAGGAGCGCAGCAAAGCCAGGCACCATTCGTCATCCACGCGGTAGCGCGCGTAGAAGGCGGCCTCCTGAGCCAGGCTGCCGACGCGCAGCCAGCGGGTCACCACGGCGAGGCCCTCGCGCACCATCACGCTGGGGTAGCGGTGCTGCAGCAAGCGCAGCAGCAACTCGTTGCCGCGGTTGCCCTCCACGTCGCCGGACGGCAGGGGGCGCAGGTGGCCCGAGGTGCTGACCACGTCGTCCTGCGTGCGTCGAAGCAGCAGCACCGGCCCAGGGTAGCGGCACAGCTGCTCGGCCACATTGAGGTTGAAGTGCTCCCGCACGGTGCGCACCACCAGTCCCTTCCAGCTCTGGGGCATGACCTTCAGGGCCAGCGGGACGAGGTCGTCGAAGGTGGCATCAAGCACCAGCGCACCCAGCTCTGGGTATGTCATGGTGGCCCAGGTGGCCGTGAAGCCCCCGATGGACCAGCCGTAGACCACTACGTGCGCAGGCGGGAAGTGCAGGCGATGCAGCGCGTACTTGACCACCACGTCCACAGCGTTGGCGTCGTGCGGTGGGAACGGCGCGCCCGTGCTGCCCCCGAAGCCCGGGTGGTTCCAGCCCAGCACGGAGTAGCCGGCCTCCAGTGGCGCGGACAGGCAGCCCATCTCGTAGAAGCCGGCGTTGCCTTCACAGCAGATGACGAGGCGCAGGCCGCGGCCGTGGCTGCCCGGGTGTTGGCGGCGATCCATGAACATGGTGTCGATCTCGTTGCCGTCACGGGCCACCAGCTTGGCACGCCGGCCACGGTAGCGCTCCACGAGGCGCTCTTGGCCCTGCTGCAGCAGCGGCAGCAGCGCGCGCGTCATCAGGAACATGGAGCCGGGGTACACGAGCCAGCGGCCCAATGAGTGGGCCAGCGCGTAGCTAGCGAGCTGGCCCGGCAGCTCGCGGATCTGCTGCAGCAGGCACTGCGCCTGGCTGCGCGACCCGCGCAGCGGACGCCCCGGCGCGTCCCGGCCAAGCGCCGTGCCCTGCAGCAGCCATACGCCCGCCGCGGCCGCCGCGCACGTCAGCGCGCGGTGACCGCTGCCGCCTCCGCCTGCGGTGCGCACGTCATCCCAGCGGAAGTCCACTGGCCAGCTGCGGAAGTTGTAGGTGTAGTTGGCGGTCAGGTAGATCTTGAACACGTGCACCAGCGCCTTCACGAAGCAAACGACGCACATGGGCGTCGAGGCTACCCGGCGCTCAGCGCGAGCCCTAACGCCCAGTCACCGGCCTGGGGTCGCGGCGGGAGACCCAGGCCCGGCCTGGGGGGGCGGCTGCAGGGGTGAGCGCGCACAGGGCTGTCTTGGGACATGCCTCCTCAGGGCTTGACCCTGATGGCCTTTGTGACCTGGGCCTTCCAGGGCCCAGGGGAGGGGACATCTGCCCGGCGCCAGCCTGCTTTGTGAGTCACTGTTGCTGGGGGAAGAGGCGACACCCCATGATGGGCTCACAAAGGGCTCCCAGGAGTGATGGACCTTAAGTTCTGCCCCGCCTCGGGTTCAAAAGTCTTAGGATCCCACGGCTGCCACACCCTCCCCAGGCCCTCCTTCTCCTGCATCCTCCCCTGGCCCTGCTTCACTCACCTGCCACCCACACCCAAGCCCACCCCACTCGCCCCTTGAACAGCACCCACCCCCCACCTCCTTAAACTGAAGATGGACGGACAAACCGGAAATGGACAGCCTTAATCTCTTCCTAGGTGGAGACTGGGGTCTCACTGGGAAAAATGCAGGGCTCCCCACAGCCCTGAGCCAAGCTTGCTGTGGGGCCCTCCCCCACCTCCCGAGGTACCCACACTGGTGGGAAAGGGAGCCAGGGGGAGGAGGAAGCAGCTCCAGGGTCAGGCTGTGTGAGAGAGCAAGGGAGGAGCCCAGGAAATCCAGCTCAGTGTCACCCTAGGGGAGCGACAGAGGCTGCGGGTGGGACTGCTGCTGCGGCAGAGAGGCAGTGTCTGCTCTAGCCTGAACCCCCTCCCTTCCTTTCCAGGAAAGGGGGTGAGCACAGGCTGGAAACCCCCTCCTGTTCTGGATCCTCTTTCCACCAGCGCTGGCAGAGGTGATGACCTTCTCCAGGTGGGGGTCCTGCTTAGCCAGCCTTCCTCATTTTCAGCCCTAGGAGAGCCTTCCTCCCCCTCAAACCGCTCCGAAAGCTGTGCCTTCCTCTTTTCTGGAGGGCTCTGGTGGGTTCCCCTTTTTCTCCTGCGCCAGAGAGAGCGAGCCCACCTGAAGGCAAAGCAGGCAGCGTTGGCGGCCACCAGGGGGCGTCGGGAAAGAGCTAGGCTCCGGGGCTCTTCAACAGTTGCCTGGACCTGAAACAGGATTTGGCAAACCCAGCCAGACCCTCAGAGCCCAAGAGCCAGGCCTGCTTCAGAGACCCCAGCTTTCTGGGGAGGGGGTTCCAGGCCTGAGCAAGCCCTTTCTGCTCTCCTGCTCTGTGTCTGGGTCGGGAGCACTGCTGGCCCAGTCAGCCCCCACCAGGTTAGGGAAACAGAGCTGAGGACTGTTGCTGACCTTGGGGGTTGGAGGGCCGGAGGGATCAACTGGGAGAGTGAGTGAGTTGGGAGGGGTGAATATCCCCCCCAACCAGGGTTTCCAGATAAAATACAAAACAGCCAGTTAAATCTGGATTTCAGATAAACACAAAAATACTTTTTGAGTATAAGTATGTCATAAATATTGCATGGGACATACTTATATTGAGATTGTTTATCTGAAATTCAACTCTAACTGGATATCCTCTTTTTAGGTTTGTTTGTTGTTTTTTGCTAAGTCTGTCATCACCCCTGGTACCTCTCCCCGCAGCCAGCTGAGATCCAAATTTTCCTGATTATTATCCAGCTCTTATCCCAGATTGGGCTGCTCAGCTCATTGGTCAGGTCCTGAGGACCAAGGGAGTGTCTCTGGGTCCACTGGTGCACCTGGGCAGGGCCCTCCTGTTCCTTCTGCCCTGCAGCCACCTTACCTCATCACTGAGTCCTGGGTGGCATGGGGACTGCCCCAGGAGGGATCCCCTTGGGTACCAAACCCTGGGGTCATGGAATGGGCAGAGTTGCCCATGGGGATTGGTGGTCCTTGTCCTCCTGAAATATGCACCCTGGCCCTCTTGTTAGGGGTGGAGACGGAAACCTTGGGGGAGGGTGGGGGCATTTCCTTCCCAGGAACCGCTTTCATAAACTCTGATGCTCTTTATCCTGGCCCGGGGAGGAGGAGTACAGACCCAGAGGCTCCAGGCTCATTTTGTGAGACCCTAGGAGTAACCCCCAACAACAGGGCAGAGGGCCTCATTGTGTCCTCAGCCTGCATCCAGGCAGACACAATAGATGAGAGGGGGTGTCCTGGAAGATTGTCCACACAGTATGTTGGACATGCCACATTTTGTTTTGATGCCCCAGGGAAAGATGGGGCTTAGAGGAGCCATCCTGGGGGCAGTCTCCTAGCTTGGTCAGCTCTGAGACTCATGTTTGGAAATAGGCTTTCCTTCAGCCGGTCCCACCTGCCCTTGGCTTCCCCGGAAAAGCAGGAAGCTTGGAGGAGGTGGGGGAGCCAGAGACCGGATTCAGAGGGGCAGAGGTCAGTGGGCTGGAGCTGCTGGACCCTTGGGGCCTTCCCCTGTGTCTAGCCTGACCCCTGACCCTACCAGCCCTGCCCCCAGCCCATGGAAGCCCCAGTGCCCCAGAACCACCAGCTCTGTTGAGACAGGAAAGCATATGACAGGAAGGGAACCCTCCTCCCGCTGTCCCCTCTCTAGAATAGCCCACCAAACTGGACCAGCTGCAGCAGCAGTGACCTCTTGTGCCCCACCCCCACCTGCTCAGGGAAGGTGAGGTTGTGTCCCCAATTATCAGTTCTCCGTTTGAGGAGGCAACCCCCCTCACCCCGCAGGGTCCTCCAGGCAGACATCTGAGCATGCACCCCACCCCCACAGAGCCTGCTGGGCTCTATGACCTCTGGCCTTTGCCCCACAGGGCTTCCACCCTCCCCCACTGAGGCAGTGCTCAGCCCCCCTGGAGGCCCTGATTTATGCTTTGGGAGCCAGCAGAGCCAACCTTGGAGAAGGAATGGAGAGACAGAAAACCAGTCCCAGAGGCTGGAGGGGCGGGGGCCAGGATCAGAGCCCCTGGCAGAGGGTGTCCAGCCAGGCAGCAGTGTGAGCCAACCACAGCAGCCCAGGGCACTGGGAGTAGTGCCCAGGCCTTGGGAAGGCTGAAGCCACCCTGGCGGGAGAGGGAGCTGAGTCTGCACAAATGCCTCTGTTCAGGAAACGGGGTGCAGGGAAGGTGGGGGTGGCTCAGAGCCTGAGGACAGAAGGGGACGCTTCCTGGCGGATGCGGGGTCAGAGACTGGGCGGAAATGGCCAAGACAGCTGCTGAACATCTGGAATCACAGAATTACCCAGCACCCTCAAGGATGGTGGGGTTGGGGGAAAGTGGTGCACGCCCACGACCTCTCCTTCCTGCCTCCCTGGTAGGCCAGCCCCTCAGTCTCTTCTCCTATTGTGCCCCCACCATCAGGGTAAAGTCTGGGTTGGGGTCAAGAGCCCTGCTGGCCGGTCTGATGGGGGCCAAGTTCCCTGGGGCTCAGTCCCTCTGGGTCGTGCACAGTCTGCATCATTTCTGCAGACTCCGGTGGGTGAACCCCTCCAGTGCACCCTGGAGCTGTGCAGGCTATGGCTCTGCTCCTGAGATGGTCCCTGGGGCCCCATACATGAACTTGAAGGGTCACTGTGTCACTCCTGACTGGGAGCCCCCATCCTTTCTACCACTACAACACCCAGCACAGGGTTTGATACCACGTGAGTTCTCAACTATTGTTACGTTATTCAAAATGTAACACAAGCTTACTGCAATCAGACAGGATGTAGAAGAGTTAACTCTCCTTTCTATACCCCTCTCTGGTTTCCAGAGAGATTAACCTGGATGTGTCCTTTCACACGTTTCTCCATTTGCCTACAAACATGTGCAACATACCGTCCAGGGTGGCTCTCATATTATTTGTTCTTACATAAGTGGGTATGGCAGCTTGTTTTTCTCATTAGCATCGCTGCATGCACACTCCTCCCCATGTGCAGGCACAATGACGCCTGCGAGCCCTCACCAGTGGATGCAAAGGTTCCAGCCCTTTCCCCTCTGCAGCCGTGGCTGCCATGAGCACCCTGTCCAAGGACCCTTGCCTCTAAGTGCCTTTCCCTACACACTAGATTCCTAACAGCACCGGCCTGAGTCAAAGGGGGCCTGTGTTCTCCAGGCCAGGAGATCTGGCCAGATTGCTTTTCCAAAAGCTTGTGCCGATCTGTGAGTCCTGTGAGCGAGTTTGTCTGCAGCAACGCAGGGCAACCCAGTGCTCTTCGTATTTGTCAGCCTCTGTGTGTCTAAGGTTAGCGAATGTTGACTGATCCTGGCCCGCAGACGGCCCGGCACCAGGAGCCATTCCGCAGGTCGCGCGATCCACGCCGCTCTTCCTCGCTGCCCCTCGGGGACCCCTCACCCGTGGGACCCTCTCCCCGCGCCTTCGTGATGGCCAGACAGAAACTGCGGCCTGGATCTCAGCCAGCCAGCCCTGCTTTGGGGGAGGGGAGATTAAGCGGACGGGGTGGTGGGGTGAATGGAAAGGATGGGAGACCCTCGGCCTGAGAGTCGCGTCTCGGGCTTGGGGGATCCGCCGCGTTTTGCATGGCTAGCGTGAGACCCCGAAACTCAGTGTGGGGGCGGGAAAAAGGCATAACCGGAGCCCCGCATTTCCCGGTAGGAGCCGCCGGTGGCGACTCTGACTGCACTGGGGGCCCGAGGTCCCCGGAGGGCACAGAGGTTGCTTTTCTGGTTCCTGCAGATCGTGGAACTGGCGACATTTCTCACAAGGTGGTGAGGCCGCGCGGAAGGTGGAAGCTGTCGCCAAGGGGCAGTCTGCACGGCGGCCCTTGGAGAACGGCTGGGTGACCCGAGACACCCTCCTGCTGCCCCGCCTGTGGCTCGAGGCTTCGCTCGGAGGGGCTGCGGCGTGTCTCCGGGGCGCGGGCGCGTTCCTGCGCAGCCCCTCCCAGCACCCCTCATGAGCTGGAGAGCCGTGCGGTGGTGTGGGGGTCCGGGAGCCGAGCCCTCCTTGCGCCTCGAGAAGGGGAGACAGCCTAGGGAGCGAGTAGAGAGGGTTGGCGAGGCCCGGGTTCGCTAGCAGCGAAGAGTCACCGTCCCGGGTGGGGAGCCCGCGGGGCCGGAGGGCCTGAGGCCAGCACTTCCCAGACCTGCTTTCTTTGGTGCGGATCTCCCACCTGCGCGGGGAGGAAGAGGTGGGGCTGAAAGCTGGGTTCCGCTGAGGCCCAGGCGTCAGGGCTGCGCGCTCATGAGCGGGACTCCTTCGTGACCCTAGATTGGGGGACCCTCGGCCCTACGGCTTCGCGGAGGTCCCTGGAGACCTTGGCACTCGAAAGAGGGGGAGGAGGGGAGGGACCTGGAGGTGGGGGCGGGGCAGGCCAGCCCAGGGTGGGCGGGATCCTGCATGGCCCCCGCGGACCTCCGCTGGGGAGGATCACCATGAACTCAGGTCTCTGGCCGCAGGACAGGACGACGACGACGACCAGGGTCCACTCTGCCCTGCGGAGCACAGCTGGGGGAGGCGGCTGTTCTGGGGCCGTGCG